GGGGGGAGGGAGCCATAGGTCTGGACTGGGGTCCCAGCCACTTTCCTGTGGGAGATGTAGACTGTCTGCCTCAATTGCTTCTCTCACCCTCCCTCCTTGCTAAGGAGCTCTGGCCACAGCCCCCACCCCCAGGCTGCCAGGCTGACCCACAGCTAGACACTGGGCAGGGGGTCCAGAACCCACAGCCAGCCCACTCACCCTGTGGCCCTGCCGGTTGGGCTCTCCTGAGAGGTAGTGTGCAAAGACTTGGAAGACGCTCTCTTCGCTGGTAAGCTCCTCCCCCCACATTTTCAGCAGCTCCTCGGCGGGGGACTTGCTTTTCAGGTAGAAGAGGTAGTAATCCTTCAGCTCCCCGAAGGCTGGTGAGGAGGAGTTACCCCTGGCAGGGAGCACGGGGGGCGGGGGGAAGGTGTTGGGGTACACTCCTGACCCTGGGCTCCTGCTGGAAGGCAGGGGAGCCATTCCTGTACCCCCTTTCCCCAGACACCGACTTCCTCACCAACGGCCATTGGGAAACTCGTCCCAGTCCTGGGTGCGGTAGATGTAGCTCTTTGGTCTGGAGGCCCAGAAAATGGGGCGCACATCCTCCTCGCGGCGCTTAGGGTGGGCGCTGACAGCCCAGGGCAGGGGGCGCCTGGAGACAGGATGGAGACAGAGGACCACAGCCTGGTGGGGGGAGCGGGGGCCCTGACTACACCTCCAGGTCCCCACGGGGCACCCCTGTGAGGGACCCACCATGGCACAGGACAGCGCCCTTACCAGTGCCAGCCAGCGCGGCCCCCTGGCTGCACTGTCTGTCCTGGGGGAGGAGGGGCTCCTCACCTGGGGTCCTCATTCCACATGCCCAGGCGCCTTAGCACCTCGGTGGTGGCCACCTCGCGGTTGAGGGTGTAGAAGTGGAGGCCTGGCACCAGACCACTGGCCAGCAGCTCCCGGCACAGGCTCACCGCCAACTCGATGCCATAGTTGCGGATGGCAGCGTCGTTGTCCTTGATGGGCTCAATCACGTCCTTGATCTTCTGGGGCACTTGCAGCTTGGACAGCTTCACCAGCTGCCGAAGAGAGGAGTAGCCCTGCCCAAGACACAGAGGAGGCCGTGGGGTCATGTGGGGTCAACTGGCCCGTCTCCCACTCTGAATATATGCCCCTGCTTTCATGCTCTGTCTGGTGCACGGCACCACATGGTGAGACGGGGAAAGTCAGATCGTGTCTGGGGGTCTGCAGGGTCCAGGAGCTGCCCGCAGTGCCTCTGACATCAGCCCTGCCTGCCCTTTGGCTCATATGTACTTGCTGGGAACAGCGTGCTCTTCCACCCAGGCCACCAGGTTCACCTGTCAATCTTTTTTTTTTTTTTTTCTTTTTTTGCCGGGCCTGGATGTTGTCTACCACTTGAGCCACAGCTCCACTTTTATTTTTGGTGGCTAATTGGGGGTAAGAGTCTCACTCATTTTCCTGCCCAGGCTGGCTTCATGCTGAGATGCTGAGATTCTTAGATAGCAGCCTCCTCAGTTGCTGGGATTATAGGCGTGAGCCATCAGCGCCTGACTCACTTCTGGCTTTTTAGTGATTAACTAGAGATAAGAGTCTCAAGACTTTTCTGCCTGAGCTGGCTTCAAAGGTCCTCAGAACTCAGTCTTCCTGAGTAGCTAGGATTATAAGTGTGAGCCTGGCTATTCCAGTCATTCTTAAGGGTAAAATACAGACCCTGAGCCCTGTATTAGGCCTGCATGCAGCAGAATTTCTGGAGGTGGGCCTGCAGATCCAGCCTTGGGACAAGCTTAACAGTCCTGCCAACAGCTAAGTTGGGGAAATACTGTCTTTTTTTTTTTTTTTTTTTGGTCGGCCTGGGCGCTGTCCTTCAGCTCTTCAGCTCAAGGCGAGCGCTCTACCACTTGAGCTACAGCGCCACTTCTGGTTTTCTGGTGGTTTATTGGAG